TTTTTTTTTTTTTTTTGTTTTTTTTTTTTTGTTCTTTTCATTTTTTTTTTTTTTTTTTTTTTTTCATTCTCTTCCTTTGCACGTACAGTACAAACGTAAACACACGCTTGTACACATGTTTCACGAAACTTTTTTTCTCTTCTCTTTTTCCCTCTAATGCGAAACACATCGCGAACGTGCCGTAACGGATTTGATTGAACGAAAAGACTGTCCCTTTCGAATGAAATCAATGAATCAGCGCAGTTCTCGTGGATGATAAAAACGAGGAAAGTAACAGCCGCGTAATACATATGTCAAACACATTTGAAAACTGTAAACCAGAAACTATGACACGCAGCTATGCTATGCTGTTTCTCTTTTTCTGTTTTTCTTTTCCTTTTTTCCTTTTTTTTTTCTTTTTTTCTTTCCTTCCTTCATCGTTTCCTTTTCCATTTCTTTTTCTTTTTTTTTTCGTTGGCTAAAAACCGGTTGCCTACGTGTATCGACGATCGTCGAACGAGCCAGCCGTTGTTGCAACTGAAAATTAATTCCCTCTCGGACTTTTTTTCAAATTTGTCGCGTCGCTCAAAGGGGAAACGACTCAACTGATTATTTATTTACGTTCGCGGACTTTCGAGAGCGTGTATTTTCCGCGGGCGTTCTTAAAAATCTTGCATCTATTGAGAGGACGCGCCTTTTTATCCTCTTCAACGAGACCTTCAAACATTTCCACTTTCATCAACACTGATTATAAAACGATCAATTATGCATCGAAGCATTTCTTATCGATCCATAGAACTTCCACGAACTTGAAAGTCTGCGATACCGTTCATATTCCCTTTCAGTTTCGCGTTCCCGCTCCTCCGTTGTATTTAATATACTTAACGAAATGTGATCAACAGATCTTTCTGCCACCGAGTCGAATTACGAACAACGAAGAAGATTTTCTTCGAAAAAAAAAAAAAAAAAAAAAAAAAAGAAAACTCTCAGGCGTCCAACGATTGGCTCGTTCGTCTAAACGCAGTTATATCCTGTTAGACGTCGTAAAAATAAAGTATATATACAACTAAGCGTTCCTCTAAAAATATTAGAATGATTGACTGAATGTAGAACCGTGTGAGGAAGAAGTGATCGATCTTACCTTTCGGTGTACTCGTTCATGTGAGCGTAGCTTTGTACGCTGTTCTCCTCAACGAGGAATTTCACACGCTGGTAAAAGGACGCGGTCACGCTGGGCGGTTGCTTGCGGAGAAGGACGTCCACAGGATTATTACTAGTAAGGCACATGATATGCTCTGCGCAAGCTGCGTGCGAGCAGCACTCGCTGTCAGAACAGTCCATCATGCCATCTGAGAAACATTATTCCTTAGATCGACAACGTTCTACGAACGGACATCAAGGGATTGATTTTCCATTAATTTTCATTTCGCGTTTCTCGGAATTCTTTGACAATTCTCTCTCCCGAGTTTTTTTCTTTCTTTTTTTTTTTCCTTTAAAGAAAATCCTTTTATCACTTTATTATTATTTCTATGGAATTCGGTGGAAATTTTCTAGTTTCGTCGAGCGCTTTATTATCAAACGTCGAGTCGTGTTATTAAGAAATTGGGAGCTTTTAGCAGTTTTCCTAGAGAACGTGAGATACAAGTGTATTTAACATTCCGTGTGTTTTGAGCTCGAAAGGTTATAACGCTTTCGTTAGCAACGTCGAAACACGTTTCCGTCTCTTTTGTTTCTTTTCTTTAGATCGAGATTTTAAAATCGCAAAGTCAAATTAATCAGAACAACAGCGAATGAACAAAGAGATTCCGCCATAGAAAAGAACAATTTCGAAAAGGGCAATTACGAAGGATTCGATGGAAATTCAGGCTAAAAATTCTATATAGTCATTTCGTTTCTTTCCTTCTTTGTTTCCTCGTTTAAAATATATATCAACACTCACCCTCGTCGTTATCAATAAAGTCATTACATTCCATTTCGAGCCGTATACTGCAGTCCCTTCCCGCCCATCCGGTTGAACACTCGCAACTGTATTCGCCATCTTGGAGGGTGCAGAGCCCGTGACGACTGCATCCGTTCTCGCATCCAGCTATCAAGGGAACGGCGTGAACGCTTTAATTTTAATTGAAGGTATCGGGCAACGATCGAGGCTGATTGAAAACCGATACATACCAGCCTCGTATCGTGAGAACAAATAACAATACAAATAACTCCGCGAAAGAATAGATTACGCGACGGGAGGGAAGAAGTAGCATTCTCGCGAGGAACGATTTTTTCGGTAGTCTGAGCACTTTGATACTAACGCTTGGTTGAAACGACGTTACATAAGTAGATGTCACGCTGTTGGAAAATATTTGAGCTAAATTTCATTGCCAATAAACTTGTAACAATGTAACAACTTCATTACTAATAACTAATTAATTAATTAAGAATCAATAGAAGTAATTAAATAATAATAACAATACTATATAGTATAATAATAGCAATAATTAATAATAACAATACTATATGGTATAATATACTAATACTACATAGTTAGTATATATACTATAGTAGGTTATTATATATTATATACTATATAATAATAACAATACTATATAGTATATAGTATAATGTGCTATATACTATATAGTTAGTATATTTATTATATATTATATACTATATTATTATATATTATTATATACTATATAGTATATTTATTATATTCTATATACTATATAATAATAACAATACTATATTAGTATTACTATTATTATTACTATTACTGTTGTACTCATTGTCAGTGTAGTGTTCACTAAATAAGTGAAAGTAAAATAACTGGAAATATTGTGTAAATTATTAAACTGAAATAGGCGAAATTAAAAATCATTTTTGTTGTTTGGATATAGTTTCTGCTCTAATTCAACTAAACGAACAAAATCGTTGTCAAATATTGCCTGAATTGAAAGGTTGCCACTTCGTCTGACAAGGCATCGACTTCTTCTACTTTATTTCGTATATTTTTCTTACGCTGGTTCACTCTCGTGAAACAAAGCAACAGGCTTGGGTAACTCCAGATCGTGGGTATCCAATCTTTTAGATCTTTCGGATCTCATTGGCCAACGAAAATTTGCTGATTTTTCTTATTTTATTTTTTCATACGCTTCACATGGGAAAAAATCTGTTCGCAAATGTAAATGACTCCCTAAAAGGGACAGTGTTGTTCATGTTGTTCGTGAAGTACTGAATATTTTTCTTTAGGCAGGCGTAGCTTATAAAAGTCTAAATAAAGACACTTGGATAAATTTTTCCCCGAGTTGTATATCCGATTGCAACTCGATACAATTTCATTTGCATGTTCGCTGGCAGCACATTGACATCAACTGAGGATGGAGTAGCAAATATGCCAAGCGTCTACAATAAAAAATATTTCGTTGGCTCTTGGAAATTATTCGTAATCAGTCACTCTGACACTAAATTTAAAAAGAAAGGTATGATTATTCGTGGCCAAGTTGGTTCAAATAATGAAATTCTTATTCGATTGTTTCAATTTTGGCTATACAATGCACGAATAGGGTGTAAGGGCCGCGGGTTAGATAGTTCTTGATCCGCAATTGCATGGGAAATGGAAAGATTCCGGTTTCGAACGCATCATCGCCGGCGTCATTGATGTTTTACTTACGCAAAGTGCAATGCCGACCGTTCCAGCCTTGACTGCAAACGCAGGTTCCGTTCTTGCACTGACCGTGTTCCGCGCAGCGTGCGTCGCACGGTTTCTGATCGCACTTGGTTCCGGTCCAGTCGTCGTTGCACCTAAAAATCACAGTCCCTTTTAATCATTCAAACTCCAATCTTCTTTCTCCCCTGTAACGATCATATGGAATTGTAACTCTGTTTCGACTGAATACATCTAAACGATCATCTGCCTGGCGAATTTCAAGCGATGTTCGAACGCGAATGATCACTCACTTTGAATCGGTCATCCGTTCGTCAAACTTTTAACTTTCTTTCTCGCCAGCGAGTGAGAAACCAACGTCAAAGGATTAATAATCGTTGTTCAGAACGTTGGGAACAACTCGGGGGAGGCTCTCGCTAACGAAGAAAGGAAAACGCGTTCCGCTTTATCGTTCAAATGCAAAATTGATTTGCCCCGTACGGAACGGCGATTTCCTCCGTTCGAGGGAAAAGAGAAAAAGACACGGATTTCGGCAGGCAAGCTCTGAAAACTCGGTGCTGCCGCGCCGTAGTGACAACTTTTTACGCTTATCGACGCTCCTTCCTTCACGGGGCACGAGAGATAGAGAGAGAGAGAGAGAGAGAGGCGTCGCGTCGCGTCGTGAGCTTTAGAATATGAGAGAGGAAATCTTCTCCTCGCGTCCTTGATTTTGACAAAGAGACGACGCGTCGAGTGGTGATAAGTTGGCAACCACCCCTAAGACAGAGCCTTTTTCTCGCAATTTTTCACCTCCTTAGATCTGAACTTTCCTTCCCCTGTACCCGACCTCTCTCCTCCTGGCAATTTACTCATTTCCATCCCCCGCCCCCGTTCCAACGACACACGCCCGCCACGTTTCTGCCGAAAAATTCCTCCAATTCTTTGATACTTTCCTTTTTATTTCTTTTGCATCGTTGCTGACTCGATATGCTTGACAAACTCGGTGTGTCGACGAATGTATTTTAAACGTCTCCGAGGTACAGAAAAATTGCAGTTCGAAGTAAATTTCGAAGTGGAATGATCGAACAATTTTCAATTTTCTAAAATTACGTCCGTGAAAAACGAACGATCGCGAAGGATCAGAAATATTTCCGCTATATCCTAACGAAACGTGTAGTAGTACACAGGGTCACCACATATTGCCATCTAGATTTACGTCGTTATTATAACGCGTAGCGAAAAATGATGAAGTTGATTTCAGATGAAGTTGAATGGTTTCGAGAGGGGCACATATTGATGATACTAGCGTAGAAGGCCATTAACGTTTTTTAAAATGGAATTATATATTTTTTATTGCATCAGTTGATGCACCTTGATATTCTTTACAAAAAAGGTATCAACCTACTTATGTTAAAAAAATCATTAGTTTAGGAGATGTTTTAATTTTATTGTTGTTAGGAAATCATGACCCCTTTGTTAATGTTGTAATGACTTTATTTACAGAAAAGTGTAAATAAAGTCAACGCGACGACCATTTACATCGCGACATTTTCTGAATCGGCAGATTAATAATTCATTCACATTGTGTAATGTATCTGGTGTTATTTTATTACACTCAGTGACGATCCGATCTCTCATATTAGTTAGCCATTGTCCGAGGCACACCTTATTTCCTAACAACATTAAAATTAAAATACCACCTAAACTAATGATTCTTTTTAACACAAATAGGTTAATACTTTTTTGCAAAGAATATCAAGGTGCATCAACTGATGCAATAAAAAATATATGACTCCGTTTAAAAAAAACCGTTAATGATCTTCATATCCTTTACACGTCCACCTGCAAGAAAACTAGTATCATCAAAATGTGCTCCTCTCGAAACCGTTCAACTTCACCTGAAATTTTTTACGTTCATTTTTCGCTACGCGTTATGGCAATATATGGTGACCCACCCTGTAGTATAGTAGTTCAGGTAAATTCGTTCAAGGTTCTAATATTTTCCAAGAAGACACTAACCTCGCAGAATGTCCCTCCGGCTCCACTCTTGCGCGGTAAATAGCGGAAAAATTATGCGATAAGTAAACGAAATCGCGATAAAATAAATCTCGTCGACTTAACCCAAAGAGAGAGAGAGAGAGAGAGAGAGAGGGGGGGGGGGAGAGGGAGAGTTAGGAAGGGAACGAGGCTAAAGAGTAAAGGCCAGTGAGATACGCATCACTTCTCCCAGTGAATACGGAAACGCGTCCAGGTAATCCAATTCAAATTCGCCAAGGGCCCATAAAGGATGACAACGGGACGTGTAGTGGTAGTGTAGCGACGTAGAACGTGTACTGACTTGCAAAGACCCTGCTCGCAGGTTCCGTGGGGTCCGCAATCGAGGCCACAGCTTGGTTGTGAACAATCTACACCGGTCCAGTGTCCCTCGCAGACGCAGCTTCCGGATTCGAGGTCGTACGTGCCGTGGTCAGAGCAACGAGGCAGACATTGGTACACCTGCTGGTCGACCTGGTTACACCTTTCGCCCTGCCAACCTGCTTTGCAATAGCATTTGCCAGCCACGCACGCGCCGTGCCCGCTGCAGTGTGGATCCGAGCAATCAGCTGCAATTTGTTATTACTCGTGTTTGTTATTCTACGTCACATTCGCTCTGTTTTTTTGCTTTTTCTCTTTTTTTTTCAAAATTTATGCTCATTGATTGAGCCTGCTGCTCTCTTTCGTTCACGTTCTCTCTCTTGTCTCATTCAAATCGTCGGATTTGTCTGACATGTATTTGGTAAGTGCTATATAGAAAAGGGGAAAGAGAACAGCAGGGAAAAGTGACGTTTGATATTGCTCGTGTAATAACTCTGTTGAATTGGCTAAAATTCTGACGATTTTCTTCATCTTTCTCCTCAACCTCCTAGCTACGGCTAAAGAGATTTTCTGCGAAAACTGTACACTTCGTATAGTATAGTACGGCAAGACGCAAACTGTGCGAAAAGTTCGTAACAAAGGAATTTATATCCGGCGACGTTTTACACGAAGCAACTTCAATTTTGAATGAATTAAAGCATCGAAATTGCAAAAAAAAAAAAGGAATAAATTACGGAATTTGAGAAATTACAACAAGCGTATACAGGTTCGAAAAAGTGATATTGACGAAATTCACTAGTAGTAGCCAAGAGGTTGAAAACTGTCATTTTCATACAACAAGTACGAGATAGTCGAAAAATTCTTTGCGTCGGCGAATATGTGCACTTGAAAAGTTCAGGTAAGATACTCCAGTCGAGTATCAACTACGATCGTTCAATGGCGGCTGTTGCTTTATTCAAACTCTATTTACTTACGTAGCCTGGCCTCGAACTGAAATTCATGAGAGCCTGGCCAAGCAAACACACATGATCTAACAACAAAACGCGTGCGCATGCATTTTCATACTAAATTAAGCGCATTATCAATAAACTTCGCCGAGTGGTATGAATACATTTGGCGCCGTTTTCAAGAACGCGACGCTGCATCTTGCGGAAGTGGAAGAGCTGACGAAGACGGAGGGGAGACGGTCGCCGGTGATTGCGCCCTGGGCACCGACGAATGGGCCAACTTTTTAAATTATGGAACAATCGGAACAATTGCATTATTCCCGCGGACCCCAGCTGCCCCGGGGAAATTATTGAACTTAATTTCAAAGTGTCCTGACGATGCAACGCGTGCCGCCATTTGCCTCGGCGTCGCGTTGCACCGTCCCGTGCCGCGGGACCAGTTATATCGGTTATACGTCATCTCTCGTCGGTATTTGCCATCTCATCTTACCACTTACATAATAATACGTACCTACTTACTACGCTGCTGGTGTTTATCGTTACACGATGCATTTGCATTCGAGTCGTCGTGTAGAATGTACGTTATAATATACGACAAAATGATAATAACCATCTTCGTGGATATAGCGAATGAGAGGGAGTTTGCGGCAACAGAGAAAAATTACGCGATACGTAAAGATAAAACAAAGCCATGCAAAGTTCGAACTGTTATCGAAATGTTCAGGCTTCGTTCAAACGACGAATTTTCTGTTTTAATTACTTTTACTAAAATGACCACCTTGCATTTGAAGACAAGCCTGCACGCGTCTTGATCTGGTTACTCTCTCCATCATTCCTGGTGTTTCTCGAGTTTGTCGGAAGCCTTGCTCTATTCTATTTCGTAGTATTTCAGCATGTTCAATCGATGTTGCGTATGCAATAGATTTTCTTTCACGTGACTATTTTGAAGATTTAGCAAATTTCGCAATACTCTCTAAATCAGTTCAGTTCTTACTAATAATCGTAATACAATAATAATAATAATAATAATCGTAATAATAATAATAATAATATACTAATTATAGTAATATGCATTACGACTATTAGTAAGAACTGAACTGATTTAGAGAGTATTGCGAAATTTGCTAAATCTTCAAATAGTCACGTGAAACAAAATCTATTGTATACGCAACATCGATTGAACATGCTGAAATACTACGAAATAGAATAGAGCAAGGCTTCCGACAAATTCGAGAAACACCAGGAATGATGGAGAGAGTAACTAGATGAATAACAAGACTTGTCTTCAAATGCAAGGTGGTCGTTTCGAGCATCTTTTGTAAAAGTAATTAAAACAGAAAATTCATTATATCTCATAAACGAAAGGGACAGATAGGACATATATTTATATGACTTTTTTTCAGAAACTTTTAGGCGTACAATTAGCTCCCGAAGTGGGTGCCACAAGTTACGAAACACCCCGTATAAAATTACCACTGACAACATCGCGAAATAATTGCAAGCATTGATTAAATTAGTGGGTGAACGTTGTCAGGAATTTCATTTACAACTATCGAACAAGTTTTCTTGTTAGTAAATTATACAGAGGGCGTTAAAATTTTCGATGCCACTGATACTACCGATATCTGTAATAACAAAGGTGTTGAAAAATTTTAGGTTTATCAATCGTCAACTCTACAATTATTTCAGACGAATGATTCTTCCACAATTATATTCTGATAAATAAATAATCAGGGCGAAATTCTAAAAAATTCAACACGAGGAATTTGATTTAAATTCCACCCATTCTAATCGTGGTAATGTAGAAATGCATTCTCGATCGTGGCAACTTTCGTTAGACTTTAATGCGAAACGAATATCCGAAGAACGATAGGGGAAGAGGGCGTTGCGACAAAACTATGAGAGTGTCAGAGACAAAGCGTCCCTTTTACCGCGAATAATTCCCCCATTCGTTCCAACAACGTCATTTTTCCGTTACTGTTACTGAGGAACACCTTCGCGGCGTTTAACTTAAATTCTCATTTTTCCTTGAAACATATCGTCAAACGAAAGAAAATGTAAACGTACGATTCGCGAGTGGCCAGGTACAATCGCAATCCGTAACTGTAATTTTTAATTTCAACTCGCGGAGCGGAAGTGATTAAAATTTAGATTTTCAGATTTAGATTTTAATCGCGGACCAGGCGATGACAATGGATCGACTATTAACATTTTACTATTAACAACAAGTTGGTTATTAGACACGATGTTGATAATAAAAGATCATAGTTGTTCGATGTTTTAGTTGTGTCTTAGGCCTAGCCTCGAGAAATCTCATTGAACCGTGAAATGCAAAGCATCTTTTCGTTTCGCATCGTCGAAACGAGAGCGACGATAGGATAGGGAAATCCGCGTCGCAGCGAGATTAATGGGGTCAGAACGTCGAACGTTCCCCTCGAACGCGGTTGAGACACTAAATCAAAAACAATGGCAAGATGCTCTTCGAAGGGATTAAAACGACCGCCAAACAGGACAAAACTAATCGTCCGGTTGAATTGCAGCAACGTATGGCTGACCCATATGTAAATTCAACGAGGGAACGTGCATTAATTATAGGTTATACAGGAGAGGCGTACGGTATTCGTATAAGCTCGTTGTTGGCGGATGAGGGAACGTGCATTACTAATACCTTGAATCTGTCCGGATAGTAGCGGTACGGTGGAAGAGGCAGGACGTGCGGTTGAATTATGGGCAAATTAATAGTAGCGTGACAAATATGAAGAAACAACATCCGACGCAACAGAAATAGACGTCGAGAGGTAAACGTTCGTCCGCGAGGAATTCGCGTTTCCGCTGTTCATTTTTAACGTTAAAATATAGTACGCGAGTGTAGCCGCGCGCATGAGCGCGTTGCACGTAAATATACACATACATCTTTCAAGTTTCCAAAGCACAATGCCGCCGTTAATGAACTTGAAAAGTTGAATCATCCGTCAGGTTTTCACGGCGTACTTAAATTCCACGTTCCGTCACATTTCTTTCCTCTTTGTTTCCGTTTCGTGTACTACATTACCTATATACTGCCTATATTGCACGAACATGCCATTAACCTCTTGCGCTGGAATGACGTGGCATGCACGAAAATATTTGGCCCAAAAATTGCGATATTTTCTCAGTTTTAAGTCTATTGAAATATTTATATAAGATATAAAATATATATATGTGTTTTCTGTAACGCGACGCACGATTTTTCTCTTATAGCTAAAAAAAAAGCCAAAAAATAAAAATATATAATATGTATTTTGAATTCATCTTGATGTTCTTTACAATACGGTGGAAAAAAAATTATGTGTTCCTGTTTGTTTCATCCAAAGTGACCTTGATTTAGCTATGAAAACAAACAATTTTTGGACATTTTTTTTATTGATACCTACTGTACACCTTGTACCGTTTCAGCTTTTGTTTTAAACTTTTTTTGTCAGATGGCTGTAAGTAGGAGAAAAATCGTGTGTCGTTACAGGAAATACTCTGTATATAAATATATATAAATATATATAATATATACATAAATATAATTGTATATAAATATATATAATATATATAATATATATATTATAAATATATATAATATATATAAATTATAATATATAAATAAATATAATTGTATATAAATATATATAATATATAAATAAATATAATTGTATATAAATATATATAATATATAAATAAATATAATTGTATATAAATATATATAATATATAAATAAATATAATTGTATATAAATATATATAATATATAAATAAATATAATTGTATATAAATATATATAATATATAAATAAATATAATTGTATATAAATATATATAACCCAGGCAAAACAAATAATAAATTTGTTACCTCTTGGTAATTTCTATCCAGGGATATACCGATGAATTCAAAAAGAAGACAAATTGTTGTACACGGTTCGGTCACACGTTACAGTCCGTGAATCAGTTACTGAGCGCAAGAGGTTAAACGGAAAACAAGCGAAACAAAGTCAAATTTTCCACAAGTTCAAATCTCGCAGTAAAAGAAAAGGAAGTGAAGATACAATTAGATTAAAAAATCTATCGCTGCATGGATCACCTTCAGTTAAAGGCATCGAGATATTTAATGAACTAGTCGCAACAAAAAATTGTTTCATCGATAAATCCTTTGTTTTAGAACGTCAATCTTCTTAACGATCTTTAATATGGTTAACATACACGTATACATCTTGAATAAACTGCGTATCGCTTGCAAAGGTAAAAGGTTTTATCGCTAGGAACGTTGGTAATTCCAGGATGAGCGAAAAGCCGATTTAAACAATCTGTCTTGAGCGGTCGAATGCAGATTTGAATCGTTCGCTCAACTCCTCAAATTGTTCTTATCATTATTTTGTTTGTTCTTACTTTCTTTTTCCAACTAGACATTCGGCCAGTTCCATTATGGAAATTACAGTATTATGTATTTACTTACGCTTGTATTTAACCCTCTATGGGCCGAATTTCTTTCTTAAATATAAAAAAATTTATGCAAAATCAACACTTATAAACCTATATATGCAGATTAAAAGAAAAATTTACCAGTTTAAACAATTTTATTATAATTAATTCACTTTGTAACTTTGAAGTAACAACAGCTTACAATATTTGCACTTTTGTGCATAAAAGCTTAAGCACTTGGCGTTAAACATAGATGCACGTTGCATTTGGAACATTTTATTTTTATTTTTGGAATTCCTTTACACCCCGGCTTTTGTTGCTTGTTATTATTATTGTTATTGATTATCTCAGAGACATTATATGATTAAGACGTATACGTCGTCTTGTAAAAAAACTAAAATTATTTGGTAAAATGTCGATATATCAGCATGTGACCTGAAAGTTATCACGTGCCTATAGAGGGTTAAAAATTATTGCAGCCGGTTCCTCTTATTTTTTTGCATTATCGTCGTAGAATATTGTCGTCAGAAAGTTTAAAGATTTCTTAACTCAATGCCAAGATTTGATGAAAGAACTGTTTTTTTTTTTTTTTTTTTTTTAGATATTATCAAGCAGATACACTGTAAATGTGTCAAAATGTGGACCGTTAGGCGTGTTAAATGTTTTTTTTTAACTTACGTTCATCGCAGAAGACGCCTTTCCAGCCAGGATTACAAACACACGATCCTCTAACGCACTGTCCGTGTTGATTGCAATCAGGAACTTGGCAGTCGCCTAATGGTATATCGCATTCGGCACCTTTCCAGCCGTCCTCACAGTGGCACATACCACCGCCATATTGTCCGTGAGACGAGCACAACACCGGGCACACGCTCTTACTGCAATCGGCTCCCTGAAATTTTCATTCAGTCAGGTTCTTCTATTATCCTCCATTCTCCCTGCCCTTCTTCAAATATGATCGACGAGCTACGATTCGCGACATATCGCACGATCGTATCACGATCTAATCGCCTTTAATCTCTGCCTGTAATTCTTTTTTCGAATCGCCACGCCATTCGAAGAAGATTGACGCGCAAATTGAATCGTTCGAGGTGGACTCGTACGACTGTATACGGGAGATGTATGTACGTATGTATGTACGTGGCAGTAGAATCTTGGTAATCACGATTGCAGTTTAAAGAATGCTACTATTTTTGGAATATTCTTTTACGATCAAAATTATACGTTGTGGTTGTGTACGAATTTTCAAATAATTTTTCTCAAATTTTTTGTCTCTCTCATTCCGAGTAACTAGTAACAATTGTTGGTAATTAAAATTTATCTGCAACAGAATCACGCGTGTCCTTTCGAGTGATTGCAAGTTACAGCAGCAAATTGTTACATTGATCTTGCAGTTTGCGATTATTAATCGTCAATCAATTAACGTAACGTTAATATAATATAGCCAATATATATATATATATATAGTACAGTTATATACGGTCATGTAGAATTTAGATCAATGATGGCGAACCTATAAGACACTGACTCACGCAGGCTTTTTAAATGACCCACGCGTTGATTTTTATAAACGTATCATCATATATATAAAAGAATTTTAATTATTTTTCGAATCCCTCTTTTCACAAAATGTTAAGAAAATTACAAGTGTTCGGTTAGAGCTTAAAAGTGAGAAATAAATGTATAATTGTGTTTTACGACTTGGTTATGTATACATATAGGTATTTTGTTTACATATAGTTACTTGTGTCCAAAAAATTTTATATAACGCTTACGATTAATCTAAAAAACACACTAGATCCTATTCTCAGAATGGGTTAGGTTTGCTAGTTTTTTATATAATAAAAGAGAGAAAACAGACAATAAAAAATATTAATAAATAAAGTTTATATATATCTAATGTATAGTGCAGGGGTGACTGGGCACGATGTCACCCCTTTTAAATGAATTTTTTGACGTTGACATTTGTTTTTTGCTCTTCACTTGCAAAAGTGAAAAGTTGTAAAACAAAAAGGAAATGTAAACTTTTTAGAGGATTATAAAGGTGAGAACCAAAAAAAAAGTGGTTTCTAACCATCCTCCCCTCCCACTTTCCAAGTGACGCCACTGACTTAGTGATCCACTAGTACAAAGAAAAAAAAAAAAAATAATGAACAAAATTTGACCTACTTCTCAAAAAAGTTCGCCGTCACTGATCTAGATGAAACGAATTGTCCGTTATATGATATATATCTGCACCTCGTCGATCGAAGTTAACAAGGGAGCGGCAGGCACAACGTACAGGTCAATGATTCCGACTCTTTAGCCAGCGCATAGTACACATCGCGTATCACACAAGAATAGAACATATCGATGTATGCCATTCAAAGCCACAGATTAAGCTCGAGGTTAAAACTGAAAGATTGCGAATAAAAATAGAAAGAGGTTCGTAATCTTGGAACGAGAGGTTAGTTTCTCTTTGTTAAAAAAAAAAAAAAAAAACAGCTTCGTTCGTGTTGCCGTGGCAAAGGCATTTCGCGAATCTTCTTAATCTGGGAACACCTTGGATAAACGAAGAAACCTAAGGATACACACCTGATACCCGTCGATGCAGTCGCACTTTCCGAGATAACACGATCCTCTTCCAGAGCAGTCGTTAGGGCAGGTAGTCGATACGCCCTCGGCTTCCGTCACGACCAGGGTGACCTTGTACGGCTGCAACTCGTCGTTGTACACCGAGAGGAACCAACGTCCGGTGTCCAAGTACTGAAGCAGGCTAACGTTCACCATCATCGGCTCCACGATCGTTCGTTTGATGAGCACGTGTTGATACGGCCGGTTGTCACTGTTGTCACGTTGCTCGGTCGCCGCCGTTTTCATGAAACTGACCGCCTCCGAGCTAGCGTCGCGTTTCAGCCTGTGATCGACCCGGCCGCCCTTCACGAACTCCACGAAATCGTACTGAGTGACGCTCGGCGCGACGTTCCTCCGTCCGTAGACGGCGAAGTTCGCGCCCCACGGCAGAGTGAGGTTCAGCCGGATGAAGGCCGGCTGTTTGTTCCGAAACTCGGTGTTCCAAAAATGGTAAGGCGGAATCACGGCCGAGTGGGCCACGTTGTACGCTTGCAGTTCCAGCACCGCCGGCCATTGCTGCGCTGATTGCTGAATCTGAGGGTCACTCTGTTGGTCCCCGGCGCTGTCCGACGCGCTCGAATGCTCCGCTGTGCTCGTCGGCAGCGACTCTGTCAGATAACGGCAATTCGATTACGATTACTCGTTGCTCTACGTATCGTAGATTGAACATACGCTACAGTCTCTTTGTACGTGTGTTCGTCAAAGTACAAATTCAGATACCAGAAATATAGAATATACATAATAACTGGGGGTGTGCGGGTACCCGAAAATTTATTTATTTTTACTGGATTTACAATATTGCTGCCATTGTCAATGACAAAAAAAAAAAAAAAAAAAAAAAAAAAAAAGGAGGTATAGTAAGAGTATTCAGTCCGTATTTACTCAACGACGTAATTAATGCAGCTTGCACGCGATTCTATTAAATGAATATTTGAATAATGATTTTCGATTGATTGGAAAGTGTAAATTATATCACTTTACTCGGGAAGATGTGTTTTCTAAAAATAAGTTAGCGTTTCTTCATTTATTTACGGAATTTGCTCTGTTTATAAAATTTATTATATCTCATAAACGAAGACAGATATATACATGTATTTATATGACTTTTTTTCATTATTTTTGGGCGTACAATCAGCTCCCGAAGTGGGTCCCACAAGTTACGAAACACCGTGTATATATTCCAGTAGCGTAACTCGGCGAACGTAGCTACACATCAGAACCGATATTATTCTCGGTGTGGCCATTGTACGGTTATATAGGAGACAGCCGATATCAGGCCACCGGAAGCCATTCGAACGTAGCAGACGCCTCCCAAAAGCAATTACCGTGAGACGTCGCGGTCGTACCGTCGGCTCGAGCTCGGGTTCGGCTCGGGCGCGTCGCGTCGCGTCGCGTCGTACGCCCTCGCGCCGGAGTATTTACATCATGCATAGTGGATGCAAATTGATACCGCTCGATATTTACCTTCGGTGGGTATTTGCGTTGATATCGGGTCGTGAACGTGCGCGTTCTCGTGAGTGACAGCCTTCACGTCTTGGACCACCACGCATTTCGTGCTGTCTATCGGCCGCATGGAGCTCACTGCTGAAAAGAAAACAGAGTTTCCCCTTTAATCATCAAACAGCGAACGTCTCGCAGGAGATGTGTCAATAACACGTACTCGTACGTGGGGGATCGTTTCAGAATAGATTCCTCCCACCTTTTTTTTCCACTCGATCCTGTTTTTCTGGCGTTTGAATTTTTAAAAACGCTTCCAGATATACGTATCTGCCGTGTGTCTTATACAAGGTGAATAAAAAGAAGGGTTCATCGAAAAGGTCAATTGAAACAAAAAATCGTTCAGATAACAATTAATTTATTAAACTATTAATTTCTCGACCGATATTTATTAGAACCTTTTCATGCTTCGGCGAATACCATCTATGTGCCTATATGTTATGGCCCCTTTTTTCTATTTACCCTAGTAATACGTTGTAAACAATCAGAATCGGAATGGATCTTAATTTTGATCTTGATTGAATTCTAATCTATTGGGAATTATGGGCAAAAGAAATCAAGAATTTACTGCACTTTATGATTGTACTTTTACTTTATTTCACTGGAAGGTATATCGTTATCCTAAAAGAGGGTATAAGATGCAATGGAGACCCAGATCCCCTAATTCTTTATCTATAGCGTGAAATGAACGCTTCACGCGTTCTCAGAACCTCTTCAACGCATAGTTCGACCACGTGCACATTTCTCCTAAGAGATTGATTTTTGTGAATACGTTTAAGACGTTTATTTCATTTTCAACATAATCTAAAAAGAATTTTAACCCAAATGTGTTACTACATGAACGTAATTAATGTATCCCTTAATGTACGTGCATTAAGTAAAATACGAAACGAATTGTTTCCTCGAGACATTCATTGTTCCCTTTTTTTTTTTTTTTTTTGTTAACACTCGTTCTTGTAAAGAACGGTGATATTACTGTGTTATATCGTGGTGCCATCGTTGGTCAGCCTTCTTTATAAAGCTGTGGTCATGTAAGTACGCTTCGTTCGCGCAACAAAGAGGCACACGCAATCAGCTTGTTATATTCTTTAATGCAGGTGACCGCCACTTCAGACAAAATACCACCGTAACGCGACTCTTTTATTGCGCCAGGAATCAGAGGCAGAGCTTTGGCCGAACGTCCCGCGGCCTCTTAATGGCTTCATAAATTCAAACAATCGCTTTCGAATTACGATGGGACAGTAGATTACCCAGGGCTGGCGCAACCTCGCTCGCTAACTTTTCAAAATGGCCCGGTTCGAGCCGACCCGGCAATCCGAATGACAAAAATCACTCCTCCGTTTCTCCCTTTAATGTCCGTCATTGGTAATTGCTCGACTTCTTTATTTATTTTGACCAATGAAACTACGTGCTTCCTTTTTCTCTCTATTTTTCTCTCCAGATCAAACGAATTAGCAACTTTTAATCTAGTTCTCTGAATTCCTTTTCTATCTTGAACTTTAATCTCTTGATTCTACAATTGTTAATTGATATTTCTATTGCTTCTGTTGCTTTATCGATTCCAATCAGATTTGCATAAATACGTGCGTAGAGCAGTTATAAAAGTTACAAAGTGGAAGCTATCTAGTTATTAAGTTAAAAACAAAATGGCAATTGAAACGCGTAAGAAATAACGCGAGGATCTCGAATTTAAATTCGTGAATTTTTGTAGAAGAGGCGAAAATCAGAAATGATGTGTGACTGCGTAAAACTAGTTCAACTATGATGTTAAGTTGTTGTACGGTAACTGTACAAAACATTTTTCACGCGAGCGTATAAAGACACGGTTGTATAAAATTTTTGTATGACTGTAATTTGTCTAGAACAAATAATTCTCAACGAGAATTATAATTATACGTTATAATTAAACGCGCCTTGGTTGGCAACGGATAATCTCGATTACAATCACTAACATAATTCGTTTGCCATAGGCATTGTCGCAACATTCTACAAATACGTACCTACGTAGTTTCAGAAACTAATATTGTTTACGTGCAATCCGACATTAAATGGCGTTGTAAAAGAAGTAGGACGTTCGATACTCTTTTATGGCGATCTATATAAGTACTTGTACGTGTACTCAACTTATTTATGAACGAAACGTTAATTCAAGATTGAATGGAGAAGAAAATGGTTAAAATTGTTGGACAGTTTTCGATCAAAATATGTGGTTGCAAAAATGTACAAAGATGTAATTGGACATTAGAAAAACATAAAGAATAGTTGTTACAATTATTGTAAATCTGTTGCAAAGATGCACGATAAATTACGAATACATAGAAATTCGTTTGTTCGGCGATATCTTTTTAAACGAGAAATTCTTCGAGACTTTATTAATTTAACTTCGTTTAATTAGCAAAATTTTATCTGAAGCCTGAATCGCGACTTCTCTGGAAAATTCGAACAACACTCCTCTACACTTTTGGGATATTATTACACACGTATAATTCTGCGCAAAATTCCAACCAAATTGGTGACCTGAATTTCAGGTATTCTCTCGCAGATACCCTCGCACGTAGTATAGTATCATAAACCTAATTCCACAGGAATCCTTCTAATTTGTCAAAGTGATATTTCTTCAAAGGGTCTTCACTCTTTGCGCATTAATCTTTCGCGTTCTAAGTATATTAATCGGCGGTTGTATATAATATTTGGTTGTATACCGCTTCGCGTATTTTTCTTAAAGCATTTTTGATTATACATGATTGTACTTTCAAATATAATCGATATTATGAAAATATTGATTATATTTGATTGATTAAAGATTATATCGTTGATAGTATCATTTTAAGAACCAATTATTTCTACGATAATTCTTAATATCACAGCCTAAGTATATTTAATATTCAAATATTTATGTAATCCTATACATTTATGTAATTTATAAGTTTATACTTATAAATGTAATTTATATATTTATTAAATACTTGTATATTTATGTAATTTTATACATTTATATATTTATATTTATACATATATATATTATATGTTATATATTTATATATTTATATATTATAAATTTACATACTTTATTATAATTTATATATATATATAAATACTTATAAATGTAATTTATATATTTATTAAATATTTACATATTTATATAATTCTATACATTTATATATTTATATATTTTGTTATAATTTATATATATATATAAATACTTATAAATGTAATTTATATATTTATTAAATACTTGTATATTTATGTAATTTTATACATTTATGTAATCTACAAATTTAAATATCATGTAATTGTATATATTTACATAATTTACTATCCGTATGACGAGCGTAGATAGAGGTTGTGCGTTTTAAAAGTTTCACCGCTAACTACCGCTCCCTCCCTTCATTTATATTAATATCTTCCAGGCAACGAGAGAACAGGTCGATCATATTTAAAATGGCACAATGACTCTCGCAATAAAATCCTTATCCGTGGCTGAGAATTGTCATGACTGAATTAATTATGCCTGTCCCGGGGTAGCTGTGTCCACCGGCAACGAATTAATTACGCGAGTTAACGAGACTTTTTAAAAGCGGACACCCCCTCCCTTCCCTTTAACCTTCCCCCCTCCCCACAACTCGCAATACAACGTGTCTAACGACCTCTTGGCTTATCAACGCGGCTTCGTTGCCTTCGTGCTTTCGGCTAATGAAATTCACGTACCGCTATCGCCCGGTCAATCCAGCAAATAGAAAATCACGTTCCGTTCGTCAGTATTTCACGCTCTATTCCTCCATTTCGTTCCTTTCCTCTTCTTTTTTTTTTCTTTTCTTTTCTTTTCTTTCCTTCTTTTTTTTTTGCAGTTCCCCTCTTTTCTTCTCTTTTCTCTTCTAATCACTTTTTTCTCTCTCTCTCTCTCTCTCTCTCTCTCTCTACGAATAAATTTCTTTACCCTTATTGCTCGCGTTGTGCTCAACGAAATAAATTGCTTTCCATCTTGGAAAGAAAGTTATTAACAACACGCTTCTGCATTGAATTCAAATGCCGACTGAATGTTAAATTTACATCGACAGCGACAAACATTTTAAAATTGCGATAATAACTTCTGTGATAATGGATCTAAGGATAACATCTTTATCGACAGCAATCACGCACAGAATAGATCGTATATAGAAATTATGATATTTACTACGTAGTAAACTACGATGATATTTGTTGCAACAAAGCCGACAGATTTTGGTATCTCGACTGTTTAATTGTAATTGTTCGCCAATTAACAATTGAAATTAAAACGAAAAGAAAGTTAAAGTACGTTTTAGCCCACTGTCCCCTCTCGCGTTTCCCCGTGTGTTTCCCGCCGTTCCTGTCCCAAAAAAGGAGAAAAAACCGGGGAAAAAAGATAGAGGGAAAAACAACTCCAATTACGAGCATCGTTCCTTTGATTCCACGCGTCAGCGGTGACAGACAAATTACTGTCCGCGCGTGAAATAGCACGCATGCGACGCTCTCTCTCTCTCTCTCTCTCTCTCTCCCTCTCCCTCTCTCTCTCGTGTGTGTGTGTGTGTGTGCGCGCGCGCACGCGAGCACATGGAAATCGACTAACTCTGGGCCGGGCTGCGGAATAACTGGAAAAGAAGGAGCGTCCCCGCGAGATCGACGCTGCTCGTTATGTAACTGCTCCTCAGAAATTGAGTTGTAGTGAACTGTGAACTGACCTTATTTCGCGTCGCGCCGTTTTTGTCCTCGTTTCGCGTCGATCGAGCCACGCCGCGTCGTTTCTACGCGTGTTACGTGTGCGTCATGCGAGCGTCTCTCTTTTGTACACATGCACACATACGCCCGTCTCCGTACCGATCACGATAGAAAATTGAAGATAGAACCCACCACTGACCCCTTCGAAATGTGAATTCGTTCTCTCTCTCTCTCTCTCTATCCTTTATCTGTGTTTTCAGGTTAAAACGAAATACGCGCGGAGGAACGTTCGGTGAATTTTATTGTACTATACCGCGCGGCGAATTGAAATTCACGATAGCGAAACGCGAAATAAGTTCGACTTTGAAGATGGGCTTCGGATTTCCCAGTGGGCGGGGCGCGGTGGGGTTAAGAAGCAGAAATTTGTCGGATAAATACAGAGAGAGTTTAATGATTTATTAAAATTGGTCGAACTTGTGAAATAAATATTGCTCGAGCCAAAGTTTATTATATTATTATCATTTTTTTAATAAATAAATTCGAACTCGAGAGAGGTAAATGTAGAAAGATTCTAAATGTGGAAGATTTGATTGAAAATTGGTGAAATATTATCCAACAACTGTTGAAACGCATTCTTGGACTTGAACTTTTCATTTCAATTATCGCGTTGATTCTAGATAAATTGGAAGTTTTGTTGACAATGTCAACAAAATTTCGTTTATCCCGCGAGTTCAACGCAACGCGGTGAACCTTGCCATATTTTCAAATTGCTGTTGCACGCTCTCGGCCAAAAAAAAAAAAAAAAAAGCGTAATATCACGTTGCAGCGCAAACAGGTATTAAAAGGGAAACTGAACGAGATAGCGGAGACAGTGAACTTTCATCATCAAAATCGCCGGAAATTTGAAATGGGTTGAAGGATGAAACGCACCAGCCCCGCGCGCTTTTCCAACTCCCAACAGAGCAGCCCGTTCTAGCACCTTAATTTACCCTTTGATTCGAGACAGGGAAAAAGTGAAGTCGGCTGGGAACGACAGGCAACTCGATCGACAAGAGCAAAGGAACAACTTTTTCAATTATATTCCCTCGGATCGATAGAGCGATTCATTCCCGAGCGATGATTCCCAGATTATCGAAGGATTATCCGTTTTCCTCTCACTTCTCTTACTCTACCACTACTTTCTCTCCATGCATTTCCTTGAAGGAAATATTTATCATCGACCCGTCTATCGTTCCCTTCAATCCACCGACACTCGGCTGTAATACGTTCCTCTCTGCCGATGTTTCGAGCAAATCGTACAATTGTCTACAACAATAACATCTTGTCAAATTGTCTGTTTCTCTTGAAACTAAAATGTGCTTGCTCAAAGTAATTTAATCTGACCTAACATTTCGTTGACGATCTGAGTGCCTTGAATAATTTTCAAATTATTTAATTTAGGTTTGCAATACGTGTATATATATTTGTAAAGTTGGGTGCAAAGATGTAGAGAATGAAGTTGTGTAACTTACGGTGCAAGAAGTCATAATTTTTTGTTTTGTAACGTTTTGACGTTCGATATTTTTAGTGTTCGAAAGGATGAGCGTTGGAAACGCGTATTCAATCGCAGAACAGAAATGAAAAGAATAATTTTGACAACATGGGATTAGTTACTTTCAAACTAAGTCAAACGTTGTTCTTAAATAAAAGTTCTCCTCTAAGCTTTTGTCAGAAAGCTTTACAAAAAACACTGAAATAAAAATTGAAAATTTTGTCACTTGCGCATTGTGCTTTCTTCCTTGTGATCGCCAATTAATTTGACTTGAAGGTACCAGAACTTTATAGAAATATTTCTTGTAAAGGTACAGAAATATTTCTTCATCTCGGGATATTCCCATATTTTTTTTCTCCCGCTTTCCTGCGACCCATCGTTTCGAGTAGGTAGCAGTTACTACATAGATGTGATTTAATTTTCAGGCATCCTGTCGGAACAACGATAGACCAATCCCCTTTCTAATTTATTAAATGGAAAGGAACACGTCGGCATACGCATACGCGAAGGTATACGTTGTGACGCTTAACTGCGCGTTAATACCTGAGGGGGATAAATCTGGAGCATGAAACGGGGGAAAAAGTATCGTATAAATATAAACTAGAGAGATAAGCTTTCTCTTTCCTTTCCTTTTCTTTCCTCCTTTCTTTCTCGTTATTTATACTGTTATATAATAAAAATTAGAAAAAGTGCTTCGAGAAGAGTCACACGTATATAATATACGTGTTAAACAAATACGTTGTAACGTTTAACAAGTTTCTTGTTAATGTCCAAACATCCATGCGTGTATATCGTGCAGCGAATTCGAAAAAATTCAAGTGTTTCTTGCCTCGCGAAAGAACTCTTTCGTAAATATTTCAAACTGTCAAGGTCTACTTTAGTTGAATTTTTTCCGCAAAGAGTTTTCATCTTTTTGCGATAATTTATAGCGAAAGAATCTTCAACAAATCGTATAGTGACTGTTTAGAAAGCGTTGTCTTTTTAAATTTCTACGTTAGTGATTTACAAACTGGAAGTTTGCGAAAGGATAGTAAATTAAATTTTCTTTGTCCGATAGAACTTTCGATGCTTTACAATCAGACGACTTTTTAAAATTTTCCAATGAAGATATAATAATAATAATAATGATAATAATAATAATAATAACAACAACAATGAGAACAATAGTAATAAAAAAAATTAATGTTGTGGAAATTGATAGTAACTAACAACCGGGGCTTCTGAAAAGACTCGAAATTATTTGAAATTCATTTGAGAAATTGCACTGCGAAAATTTTGAAGAACAACATTAATCTGGTTAGAAAAATTTTGCAAGAGAGAGAATTAGAATGACGAGGAAGAAGCAGAAATAAAAAACAAGTGGCGTGGGTGTGGAAGAAGGTAGTTTGGATGCAGTAGCAAACAGGCAGATTGGATTCCCGACTCGATTTACCGGAATGCAGAAATAACAGCTGGCGAGGTCTCCTCGAGGCCGATCCGGCTTTACAATCTTCTCCGCTTTTCTTCTTTCCGCTTTTCAGACACGAGAGAAACGGACACGAGCGGGTAGAAGAAGAGGAGGAGGAGGAGGAAGACGAGAAGAAAGAGAAGAGGAGAAAGGAGAATGCAGACGACGGATTCAAGGGACAGTTCAGTAAAAGTGACTCGAGCATGTTTTATATACCGGGTGTTCTCTCAACTGTCGAAATTTTCTGGCCACTCCACGAATTTTATGAAAGATCGTGTTTTACGAAGATTAGATTACATTCGTCAGCATCCAATTTTCTTGGATTAGAGTTTCTTGGATTAGTCTGCGTCTTTGTCCAAAATCTGTTTTTTTTTTCAAACGAAATTGCAGCACTTTTACAAGTGTGCATCTCTACAATACTACAAGATTGATGAAAAGAAATAATTTTTTGTAACCTATATTTATTCGAAGAGATTATGAAATTTCACATGATACATGTAAACATGTAAACGATAGGAAATTCTTTTATGTCGAGATTTTAACAGATGAGAGACAATACCAATTAAAAAGAAGCAAAAGAAATGAGTAAAACGTAAACGTAACGTAATGTATAGTAAACTAACGAGATCAATGGAGAGGAGGAGATAATGCAGCCAATGACCAGACATCGTTCTTGTAAGTAGAAGCAACGAGCGATAGTCACACATTGCCACGAGCGTTTTAAGTAGAAACATCGCAGCATGGTCAGACCAGCCACTGTACCTTTCTAAGTAGAAACAGCGAGCAACGATCATACAACACGTCATACTTTCGTAAATAGAAACAACTACCAAATAATTAGACGCATCACTATAATCATACTGCAGAATCTACATTCCTGCGCAAGATTCTGTAATTAATTTTCTCGATAATAAAATTTAGATAAATATTTGCACTAGTAACTAGAAAAAAAAAAAACATTTTACGCACTTTATTTTTACTACCAACTAACAATTCTTAGTGGAACAAATAATTTAGACTATATGATACTTACATACAATTGTAGTATGGATCATATACATCGAGAGAATAATACGATCAATCTTTAACTCTGTTTCTTTCCCGCGAAATCCCCTTTATTCCATCCGCCTTTGAAAAGATGAACCGTAATTCCAGCACAACCAGAGGATCTTGACCGCCGGGGCTTCGAATTTAGGGATTTGTCGACTCGGACCAAATGCAAAAACGTCAGGTGCAGGGAGTCGCTGTTTCACGTAGATAACGAGCAAGCGTTAATTTCTCTAATCGGTTCCTGGCTTTCGTCGTCCCTTCCTCTCAATGTCGATGCAATTCTCGTGTAACGGCTAACTTGGATTCTCACTACTACTGCCCTCTGCTATTCTTCGATCTCATCTCAAAGATCTCGCATTTTGTACGCCCTCTAACAACTATCGTGTGGAATAGTTAATCAACGGCCGGCTTGGAAGAGAGACGTGGATTGGAACCATTGACTTGTTGTTAGTCAAAGTTGGAACGTTTGAAAGTTTTATTGCAAAGTGTGTTAGCAAGATTTCACGTGCCTTCCCGATGTGTGTTACAGGTAAATTTTAATTATATGATTTTTGGAACAAGTAGTTAGGTTAGATAGCGTTCGAGCGAAATATAGTTTACCTTACAGATTTCTTCTGAGGTTATGCATTTTATGTAAACTCGTAAAATATTATTAGGTACTAGTATTTCAATTAAGATTTTCGTTTCGTTTTCAAATAACTGACAGATAAATAAATTTACAGCTGCATATCAATTTTTGAGAAATTGACGCGAATAAGGTGTTTGTAATTTCAAATCAAATAAGACTAATATCGTTACATCTTAAAATGGTGAAATGATCGTGTCAATATTTAATAACGATAAAACAGGAATCTTCAACTTTCAATCTTCTTGAATGTAAAAATTGAATCGGTGTTTCGCTCGTTTCTTGCACGATCAATTCTCACGTGACCATTTCGAGCTCGTTCTTTACATTCTCCCTAACGAACGATAAAATAAAAAGAAAGAAAGAAAGAAAAAGAGAGAGAGAGAGAGAGAGAGAGAATATGTACAGCGTTTCTCGAGGCAGATCATTATTGGCCGGAAACACGGGCCACGCTGTCGAAGCGCTTCCTCGCCATCAGTCGGCAATATTTTCACCTCTCCCCCAACCGGATGAGGCAACACCGCTTGCTACTAAACGAACCATTGCGCTAGTAACGTTTACTACGCGGCTCCGCGCGCTTCCTATCGAAGATCCGGACTTCCGTCGTTAAACGGTATTCAATTTGCCAGTGCACGGACCACGGGAGAACATCTACGTTCACTGATAGATCTAGGTTTTCTTTCTGTCCGCCAGATGTCACTTTCGCTGGTTAGAAAACTGCTTATCTCTAAATATGTACGTACGTATATATTAGAGTTTTTTCACAGTTGAATGGAGAGAGAATTGAACGACCAAGTACTTCAAGACAGGAATTTTTAGCGAAATTTTGCATCGTGTAGAAACAAGCAGAGGTTAAATTTTGGTCGAGGAAGAAGGCGTTATCGAAGGTATTACGGATCGTTGATTTTCACGAAAATTAAATATGAAGTTGGAATATAAAGTTTTCATTGAATTTTTGTGATTTTCCGTTTAAATGAAAGGTTAGTTTCCTTTTTTCAGTTTCATAAGCGAGCGATTCTGATGAATAATTAAGAAAAGAAAAGAGGAGAGAGAGGCACGGCTACAGGTTAGTTAAATATTTCACGACCCAATAACTCTAACTGAAATTCTCCATCTGAAAATTCTGATTCTGATGAATGTTTAATAAAGATGAAAAAGAGAAGAGAAGAGAAGAGAAGAGAAGAAGAAGGGAGAAAAAAAAACAAACCATAGCTGGATTCTTAGCTGAAGTTTTGTATTCATAGATAAACAGAGCTCTTCCGTTACAAGGTAGCATATAAATTATTACTATGAAGAAGACAAAATGAGAAACTGTGTGAAATATTTAGACAAATGAAATAAAAGAGTTTCAGTAACTTGTAGATAACTCTACAATTTACTATTCTCTCTTTTATAGAGAGTACTTTCAGAGACTTACTTTTATATTGAACATTTTAAATGTTAATTTAATTTCTCTTATAAAATTATCAGTAACAAACAACTGATATAAAAAGAAGACTGAGAGGAAAGAATTCGATTTTCACCGATTAATGGTTAATTTTGTTTCAAACATCCCGTTGAAAGACTGGAGACCAGCAGTATTATATCGAACGATTCACGGTCAATCGGGTTTTATTGAGATATCATGTTAAAAAAGGAATGATCGTCATGGCAACAGAAGCCCGGTGAATACATTTCACGGTGAGTAGGAAAATGGCACGGGATGGCACGGTTAGAAAAGCAGGAAGCACGGTAAAAATTTTTCGATCCCCATGCGAGTGATATGGGGGAGCAGATAAAATGCTAGATGAATTATAATTTCAGCTCCATTACCGCTCGATCGTAAATGCTGCCAATGCAATGTTGTTCAACAGCGCATGCAAATTCGAAAAGTGAACATTTGCATCCTGATTGATCTCCATTGGCATAATAAATTTTGTAATCGAATTTTTGTAAGTATAAAATACGATAAATACGGTATAATGCTGATGCAGGTTATAAAATGCGTAGCAATTTGTTGTTCTAACAGTAACACTTGATGAAAAATAAATATGTGTGTCTGGATGGTGCGACAATAATTTAGAGACATTTTGTAAGAATTCTGTTTTTCAAATATTGAAAGTAAAAGACCAATGTGTCACATAAACTCTTTAGATCCTCTTTCCATTTTCTACTTAAATCTTCTGCTTATTTTGACATTCACCAATGGTGCCAATACCAATAATATAGATCCATGGGGTGATTTTCATTAAATCGAACTCGGAAACGAACAGGACAAACTCGACCGTTTCCGTTTACAGTCAGATTATACACTGCAAGTTAGGCAAATCAAAGTCCAGGCGAATTTCAACCGCGCATCTCGTCTCCCTAACCGAATCTGCAACTTGATAATGAGTTATTGTAGCGTAAACTGTGGATTAACGGGCAGAAGGATTTTCCGGGCGGAGTGCCGATAAATTCACGGAGGCCGGCGTAAATAAGAGCCAGCTACCGACCGATCGACGAACCCACTCATACATAATAGATGAATTAACTGTATTTTGATTCCCGCGCAGCCGGCCCTTTGATCGCGGCCATTTTCGCGTTACCGCGAACCGCACTAAGCATACCCCACATTCACCACAAACCGAATTCGAGTCCTCTGAATTTCTAAAAACCTGCGATACGGCCACTGCTCGTGGAATTTCAATGGAATCGAACGACGAAAGTGCAATTTTTCTTTCTATTCAGGTGACAGGGATGTTGATTGATTACATTGACGATTAGAGTTAAAAAATAGAACAAAGTAGACAAAACATGTCTTCTACTCGGTCGTTGAATTTAGATTTAATCTCTAATTAGAAGTCAGCATAATATAGCGAATCATTATCAATTTCCAATATCCAATGTTAGTAATGTGCTATCTAATCTGTCTGCAATCTATCAGTTATGCTATCTAATATTCATCAACCAAGTAGAATTGTTGAACGTACGTCAACTTATCTCAAATTCATGAAAAAACATCTTGTCAGTTCTCATTTCAAACTTCGTTCGCTCCTCTTCGTATAAACCGTAAGGCTAATTTTCAATTTTCAAATCAAACAAAAGATAAAACAAAAGCACAAAGACATAAGCTCTTTTCTTTTCTTTTTTTTTTTAATTCACGAAACTATTCGTAAGCTTATTAAACGATTGAATATTCCAGGTTATATATTTTGTTTACTTACTGGCGAAGTAAGCCAGCATCGCCGTCAGCGCAACAGCCAGAAGGATCAACGCGATCGAGAAACATTTCCAGGAGCATCTGTGCTGGCATCGTTTGTCGATGTGAAAACGTGACGGCGAATACGGCGAATAATGTGGTACCGCTGCAGCGCGAAGTGGAAATCCTGGCATTACCATGGCTTGACCTTGTGCGCCCACCGTGCCTGTACCACCATTTCCAGCGGCTGCCCCCAAACCACTGCCCAAAGAGCCGACTGTCACCTGCTGTTGCGGCGGTGGAAGCCTGTAACACAGACAGTGAAGAACTATCGTTATTACATACTTTATAAATTGATATAATTTTTAGAGTGCAGTGAAAGCCCAGTGAAAGGAACTGAGACACTTGTCTAAGACTAGATGTCTTGATGCAACGAGACGGCGAGTAGAAATTGTCTCTCAAAAATTAGTTTAAATTGAGTTAAAACTAAAGTCATTTTTTCCACTTCTCTCTTGACGTGCCCGAAACAAGGATTTGATATAAAGCTGCGCATAGTGAATATGTTCTTCAATGTAAATGAACAAATAAATTACAGCGAGAAAAAAAAACATAATTTTTAAAGGTACGAGTCACTTGACATCTAACTCTTTCGTAACGCAGAATATTCCACAGTATAACGCCACTGTCGTAGTCAGATGAAATCGGACTTAAGCGACTGCAAGAACTTGAATGCCAGCTCGAAGCGCCAATATTGAATTTTCTGCTTAAAATGTAGTTGAACATCTTGAGCAGATGTTGTAAACGGATGGGGATTACTGAATGCGGAAAACTGGAAACAGTGAAAACACTGAATTGGGACATAGCTGTAGCTTTGATTCTGTAAAATGATGAACGTTTGAATCTAGAACAAACAAATGATTGTGCCAAAAAGGCAAACGGAGTGGGATGAATTTTAGATGCTCGAGCTTAATTTCTTTTTTTTTTATTTCGTCGGAGAAGGAGATCAAAAGGATGAGCTCGAATCAGAAACGTCGTTATCTCCAAATGTCAAAAATATTTTCTACAACGAAATCATCGGGGTCACTTTTTAGCTAGCGCATCATCAGTCTTGTTTTATCAACTTCGCCAAAATCGAGAAATTTTCTGATGTTTGCCTAGTAAAGGATCGTCAAGATGTCTCATCTTGCTCGCGTAATGCATCAGTTATTTAATAACGCTCGACAAACACCATAAATAATCACGCGCTCAGCTCGCAATCCTATAAACGTCTGCTCATATTTCCTCTGGTCAGGAAGCAATCAGACGCGACGCGACGTAAGGAGAAGAACAGGATAGAAAAGGAAGAAGGGACGAGCAACACGAATATAAGAGGGTGAAACATAGAAAGACGAGAAAGAGAGACGGAGAAAGTGAGAGAAAGAAAGAAAAAAAAAAGGAAAATATTGCTGGCAAAGGTCCCGACGTGCGTCGGTACTTTAACCGTGCAAACAGAAGAAACGAGCGAAGGGATAGTTGCGAGTAATAAATATTGCTTTTTCTTTTGGGGATCATTAAGTTGAGAACAGACGGTGGCAGAAAATTAATTTACTAAAAGTATCGGCGGACTCGTCGCAGCCTCGTCGGCAAAAAAAGAAAAAAAAAAAAAAAAAAACGGCCGGCGAAAGAACTTTAATGGCGAAATAATGGGGGTCTTAAAAGTTGGACGATGGCCAGTGACATCTTGTTCGATCTCTGAATCGTCGTCTCTCGCCCGTCGTAATTCCGCTCACGCTACGCTTCTCCAGAGTTGTTGTTTGCTCCTCTTCATTTAATTTATCGTACAAAATACGTGGTTTAATGAACCTCTATTGCACACTGCTGTCAAACACTTGAGACAAACAAATTCTTTTAGCGCGTGAATTGAAAGTCCGATCATTATATTGGAGTTGGACTTATAAATATATATTCAGGTATCTATGATTTACGCTCATGTTAAATGGAACATGAATGGCAAGGAGCAAATATTTTATTTGGTGACAAAGATATTTTATAACCGAAGTAGTTATATATATATATATATATTGCGTGGAACAGTATTTCTGGATTTAATTAAATCTGTTATAATGCTAATGGAAGATTCATGTACACAGTACTTTCCACGCAATAACGACAAAGAGAAGTTTAACGAAACAACTTTTAGTGGCCATTGTTCCAGCTAAAGATAGCGACTTTCATATTCTTAGGGATACAATGCGTTTGCTACGCAATCAAGTTTCAATGTCTGATTACAGTCTTAATAATGGTGGAGCATAACTTTTTTTTTTTTTTGTTTTGTTTTTGTAGCACACGCTACATTTAGGACGCTATATAATTATTGGAATCTTTGCAATATTCGTGTAACGAGACAATGGGTTCCCTCTCTTCACCGTTCCAGATGATAGCGTCGCTGGGATCGAATAAAGCAAAGGGCCACGTTCGCAGCTCGAACGTTTAATTGTCATCGGAAACGCAATTCCGTAACGCGCAGCACTAATCAACTCCCGCGGCGCGGATAAAGCTTTAATGAGATTGCGAACGTAGCGGGAGGAAAGAGGAAGGGCGGCGGAGAGAATAGAGAGACGAGCGGACAGACGAGCGCGGCAAATTTTCTTCGACGGTGACAAATAAATACAGCTGCAGCTTAGGTTAAGAAGCTTCAGACAGCCGTACAGCCGTTTCACTACGGACAACCGGATTCTTGATTGCACGTAACGGACAAATGAAGCGAGGGGAGAGTAGCTGAAAACAAGATGAACGACTCGGCGCGTTAACACCGTGCGGTCCCTTCTTCAAGCTGAGTTAATCCATTTGCGCGAGTAAATCAGTTAACTGAAATTCGGTTATATTTCCTAATCGATACGATGGATTAAGCTGGCTCGTTGCTGGCTCTATGCCTTTCTCCGAGTCTGTCTTCGACGCTCTTGTATTTCAAAAGTGACACAGTCGCGATAATTCAATTTTTGTGTTAAAGAGAAGTTGGAGAAGGAAAATGGAAAATGACGAAAATAATGTTTAATCGTTGTTTCCTGATGTCTATTTCTTCTGCCAATATCGTACAATAATTGGTAAATAATTTTTTCTGCAAGCTTACAGATACGTGTACAATTTTCCTGAAAAGCGGTTTAAATTGCTACAAAGAAAAAATCTTGTATCCAGTATTTCAGAGATACTTTGAAATTAAACGATTCTCGTGATATTGCCACGTGTGATAAATCAACTATCGTTGGGAATTATAAATATTCGAAGAAAATGTAAATTTATAACGATTCGCGGGAAACTTGGCGAGCAAAGTTAGCGACGAAAATTCAAGTGGTGGAGCGCGCAAGTGTCGCGTCAAGGAAAGTCCCGAACAAGTGAAGCTGAGCTCGAACAAAATTTTCTACTCTAGCCGTCGAAATCCCTCGTGGCGACGGTAAAATTTCTGCTTTTGCTACAATACTCCCTTCCCGCCACCATTTCTCCAATATTCTAATTCGAGGCACGTTCGACGTTTCAGGTACAACGTTTCAAGCTGCCGTGCATATACAACATATCCGCGTTGGCTCTCTACCTCTACACGCCTCCCTCCCACCAACCATTGGACATTCAACGTGGTGACGAACTCACGCGCACGACTACGACACCTACCGATTAAGCGAATTGACCGGCTGTCTGATATATTGGAAGTTAAAAGGGTAATTGCGGGTGGCGTTGCTCTCACATATTGAGTCGAGTGTTGTCTGAGTGGAAGATTGGAGCGGGCCCGAGGATAGGGCCGAGCGTGTGATCCAATTATGATGTAACGAACGCGTCGTTACTCGGAACACGCTCGATAACGAGACGCCGAGTATAGGCTTTGAACCGTGGTCAGACATCAAACGTTCTTTTCTGTCGAGACCCGACCACTTCGTTAAGACTTGTCCTTCCCTGCTGCCTCGACGATCGCGCGCTCCACGTTTAAGAGTAAGAAGAGCGGAGTCACGCAACTTATCAACCGCCTCGGAGCGAAGGTAAGACGTTCAAGTCGATTTTCTTGTTCTTTTTTTTTCCTTTTTTTTTTAGAATCAAGACGTGAGAAGCAAATTTCACAAATTTAAGCTGTCGTTAAGACGGAATATTTCATTGTATTCAATTACGATAATTTTCCCGAGAGGGAATGTCACTCTTCATTGATATAATAGCAACTGTGATATTTTGAAACCATGAAACAACAACTTTTTCCTACCGACGCAAATTATCCATAGCACAGTCTCAGATTAGACTAGATTTATAATTTTCTTAACAATTGTCGAGTTACGATAAGCCGAGTTTATTCGTTGGGAACACATTGGGTCGTAAGAAGCACGCGTGCGCATGCCTAGAACGAAAGGGGAAGGAACAACTCGAAGAACTCTAATAAAAATCTGACACCTTGACCCTCTGTGATTCTCGAAAGAACGACATAAAGGGACATAAAGCGTGCGTAACCCGACGCGTAACACGGACTCTCGTTACTTAAAATTGAATCTTACTTCGAGAGTCAATTTTACTACGAGAAAAAAAAAGTACTCCTGTAAACAAAACGAAGAATGTTTCTCACACTTTGTTTATAATGTTTACGATTAAACAGTTAATTTCCTTTAAACTCTGATCAACGTGCTAGTAATGGACAATTGCTCGAGCATTAAAGAACATATAATAAATCAAAATTTGACTGTCGGGTTATTAATAGCCAATTAAGCACGGCTACATTGAAATTATTATCTTAATTGGCCTATTATCGCGCTCATAGGATCGTGGAATTATGTACGTAACGTAATGCCACGATCACCTGATCTGCAAATCAGTGCACTTAATTTATTTAACACTGTCAAGCCCCGAGTCTAACGAAAGTGGTGATCTCAAAGATTGGACGCGTGTTATAAATATTCAAGGCAATATGCCACGGCGGAAAGATCGAAACGTTATCCCGAACTTTCCTAAAAGGAATCCCCGGAACTCGCGCGTTCGATGACCTCGCATCGTTCGCAGCCGCCATGGAGAAACGGAAATCTCGTTTCGCGCAATGCTCTCTGAATATTAATCGCGCTGCATAACAAGGAAACATGGCGGTGAAAAAATTACTCACAGTTTACAAACCGCGGGAACGATCGTTGAACGCTTGGCAAATAATTGGCCAATACTAATGGTTTCTAAAGGTGCAGGTAAAATTACAATTTAGCATTGTCGAAACGTGAGAACGAAGTCGAGTATAATTGTAGCTCTGAATTCTTTCGAGTTCAATATTGATACATGAAGGATGATAGCTAGACATTTTAGATTGCTTTGGTTCGCTATTTGAAATATTATATTATATATATTATATTTATTATATTATATTATTAT